GATACAAACAGGTGAAAATTACACAGCTCATTTACACACTTTTCCTGAAGATAGAAGAGTTTGTTGAATCAGACGTGGCATGTTCGTATGAACAAAAATAAGAGAAATTTAGGATAAGAAACGAACATGTTCTTGCATGAGGCCCATTGTTGACGAAAACTGAGAGGCAGCTTCTCTACTCAGATAACCCCTGTGTCTGTTCTTACTTTATGTTTCCCGTGTTTTCCTTGCAGGAGATGATAGAAAATTATGTGCACTGGAATGAAGATATTGGAGAATGGCAGCTGGTGAGCTCAGTTTGCATCAATGATTCTCAAAGTGATGTGCAGTTCGATTACCATCAGTTTAGGCTGAGGGTGTCCAATTCTGGTTTTACATGTTTTCCTGCTSCAACACACCTGATTCAGTGATTTAATTACCTCATCAAGTTCTGCAGAAGTCTGTTGATCACCAATTCTTTTCTCAAATCTGCTGTGTTAGAGCAGAGAAACCTCTAAAARATGCAGGATTGTGGTCCTCAAGGATCAGTACTGAATACCACTGGTTTAGACAAATCAGCTGTAAATGAAATATTTCATTCTGCTTTTTGAACAATGTTTTTCAGAAATGTGTGGCTTACACTGGAAACAACATGAGAAAACAAACCCCTGCTCCTGACAAAAAAGAAAAAGATGTGAGTTGATGAATGTTGTTTTTGTCTGATTGATTTGCTTTATAAACTTAGCACAAAAAATAAATAAATTTATGTTTGARATGTTATTTCTTTGTTGTAGCAATGCTTCTTGACAATAAATCTTATTCGGTTGGAAAGCCTGTTAATTTGCATTTTAAATGGTGCTACATTTGTAACAGTGGCAGATGCTGGTCTTTCAAGAAGGGGAAACTCAATTTTGGCCTACATCATAAAATGTGTCGGTTTATTTATACGTAAATTCTACCCTRCATTCCTTTTCAAGAAACTGATCTGTGACCCTGTTCCAGATCATTTTACAGCACTTCCAGTCAGCCAGCTCACTTRGTCATACCAGGACAGCTGAAAAGACCTGTTACTTTTCCCACCTTTTGCACCAAATTAATCTGAGGAGTTGATCAGCCCTGCTTTAACTATAAGTTTTTCTTTGTAAACAAGACTATCAAATGGCTTCGCCAAAATCCGGTCCACAACATTCAAACTGTCTACCTATATGTTCAGCTAGTTACTGGTGRGAGGCTAGTGTGAAGTGTGTCGCCTGTGAGTGCTTTGTGACGGCGAAGGGGCTCAGCAGCAGCCGCTGGACAGAAGAAGTCAGAAAGAGTGATAGAAGTCAGTCTCCTAACACAAGCAGCTACAAAAAAAAGAAAAACACCAGAAATAGAAGCTCAATTTGTCGCTAGTTGTTTTTAACAAAGGAAATGCTGCTAAAAGGATTAATAAATTTTCCGGTTCAACTCAGAACAGAAACTAAACTAAAAAATGCTCCCACGGATGTTTACACAAAAAGATCGCTGATTCGCTCATTTCTCTGCCAATCAAAAAGGGATTCAGCCTCCGACAGATCATCCAATCATCATGCAGAAGCTGAGCGTCCGAGTCAGCCGAGGCCAGTCCACTGCCCCATAGACCCCCAGAGATGCTGAGCATCCGATGGGCGGGACAAAGCCAGCATTTATCCAKTGACTCYTCTCGTTTCGCTGCAGTCTTTGTTTCGCTAATGAACTCTGTGGAAGCTCAGTGTCTGGACTGTTTAAAGCACTGTGAAGCTGCGGGAATGAGAAAACTATGTCATTACCAGTGATAAGAAGCTGATTCTGAACAAAAGTTGAGCGCGTTGTAGCGCAAATTTAGTCAATGACGTACACACAACAGTATATATTTGATCACTTAGTTTTGAAATTTTGCAGTCTTAGAGCAATTGTCTCCGATTTGTAAGGAACATGCATCTGTGGGATGAGTAGTAGGGCTGAGTATGTGGGTTGTGCACAGGAAAAAATTGCAAAATCTCTGCCAAAAAGCTTTTTTTGCTGTTGTTATTGACTCTTGTTTTGAGCTTTTGGTACCTCCAGGTGCTGCCAATCAGGTGCCCGCTATAAGATTTATTGCCAAGAAGAATTGTTACTACAAAGAAATAATCTACCAAACATTAATTTCCTTACTTTTTGTGCTAAGTTTATATAGTTTGTCTTCTTTATAAAGTGAAACAACGTTGACCTCTTTCTTCTCTTGTCCCTTCTATTTGTAGCCGTTTGAGGTGGATCTGTCCCATGTCTATCTGGCGTACACTGAGGAGAGTATGCGCCAGTCACTGATGAAACTAGAGAGGCCCAGAACCTCAAAAAGTAGCAAAAGTGGCCGACCCAAAACGGGACGCAGGTAAAAAGCTTTCAATCCAGACAGTCTGAAGCAAACCTGTTCTCACATTTCTCTTCAGTTTCTGACCCCAGAGACATTTTTCACTCCAATAATCTTACATTTGGACTGGATTTAATTAGTTTTGTTTAACTCTTAATAGTTTTGTTTTTGCGTGTCAGATCTTCAAGAGTAGAATCGTGTTTTCATGGACTTTCTTTATTCTCTAACTGCACATCAAAAACATCAAATTAAAACCAGTTTTGCCGTATATCTGGTTCATCTCTTTTTGCACTAATTAGCYTTTGAATAGTTCTTGCAGCACAAGTTTCATATGCTGATTAAAAWTTTTCTTCACATTTAGATAGAAAGCTATTTTCGTCTTGATAGAGTCCGGGAAATAGATGACCGATTTCYCAGTGAAACTTCGATGTCGTCTTCCTTGTATTATAAAGTGTAAATGTGTGTTTCCACCAGATATTTGATATTTGAGGGTAGCAGTTACACTCAGAGAAATGACAACGTTTGTGTTTCTAAGAGACTGTGTTTACGTTTCTCTTTCAGTTGATGAAATTAGTTCTCACCTCATATGAACCAAAGGCTTTTTATTAAAAACGTCTACTTAAACCACTGGGTTTCCTGAAAATTATGACTGTCTAATAAATTCTTTAATCTACATCCTCAATTTGGGCTGTAGAAACAGGAAGTTATACATTCAAGTGTTGTCTACTGTGAAGAGTTTTTAGTTAGTGTTTGTTGAAAATGATGATTAGACTACTGTGTCTTATCAAACTGGACAGATCAAAGCATTCAAATAAAGGGTTAGATCTAGGGGTGCACTGATAAATCTGCCAGCTGATTTCTTTAATTTTGGGAGATCGGCCGATCCTTAGATAAGATTGGTGGAAACGATCAGTTTTTCTACCTCCACAAAGGTATGAAAATCAGCCACTGTCCACTTTTTTTGTTCTGCTAAGCACTACCTAATGTCCATTTAAAACAAGTTTGTATTGTTTCAAGGYTATTGTGACCTTAAAACATCTGATGGTGTCAGTTTAAAAAGTCGGTATTGGCCAAAATCAGAATGGCCAATTCAATCACTTTAAAGATCATGATTGGCCAGAAAACTGGAATCAGTGCACCCCTAGTTAGATCTGAATGTACTTATCAGTACTTTATCATGGTTAAACCAGCTTTCCTCATCTGAAGTATATTTTGATTTGTAGTTATGCTGCATTTGTTTGTCTTATATTATTTCAGATTTGCTAAATATGATGTTACAAAAACATTAAAATGACATATTTCTGAAATATAACTGCATGATTTTAGATTTAGATTTTATTCATTCAGTTTTAACACAACAGTCATGTCATAGTACTATTAAAAAAAAGTTCCAGTTACTATGATGGGCTGGACTTCTGAGAAATTCTCAAGTTCAAAGTCACTAAAGTTGCTTATAATTGTTATCATGTACCCATCTCCACACAGGAAAAGATCTGCAAAACCAGATGCGGTGATCGAATCCCTTCTACAGTGACGACACTCGAGAGGAGGTCCACATTTCACACCAACTTTCATGTATATATTAAAAAACAAGGAATTAGTCCCACTAATGTTTGAACAAARAATTGAAGATTTTTTTGTGTACACTGTAAGGTTTTAAATGTGAACAAGCTGCACCTTTTAGCAAGAAAAACACCACATGGAGGAAATAAAAACAACCTGATGGATGTACTGTAAAAGACGTTCACCCTGAGGAGGACCACTCCTGTCCGAAATTTTGACAAGTTTCTGTGTTTTCACACAGATCTGTCAGATGTAAAATTAGCCAGATTGCTGAAAATGAAATTGCGGTAGTGACCTACTAACTTGATAACGCTCATTTTCTCTGAAATGTGCTGTGTTACGTTAACACACGTCTAACCCATCAGAGATGAAGATTGTTTCAGTCATTTCCTGCATTGTGATCGGTAGATTAAAGTTAAACAAACCACTACAACAGTCGTCATTGGACTCCAGTTAACACCAATTTATTCTACTCCTAAAATGAGCCAAGGCCCCATTGTTGAGTTCGGTTGACACCAAGAAGATAAAAGTTTGTAAACTATCATTATAAATGATATTTAAAGTGTTTTCTTTTAGGTCAGAAGATTGAAGCATGCATGCCATTCAGCTCTTAGTCTGTGCCATTTCTTACACTAAACAGGTCACATTTTTATTTCCACGTCTGAACGCTTGTGAGATGCACCATAGATAATGTATGCCTTAGTATATGTATATATAAAATGCACCAGTGTAGGGTTATTTGCTTTCATGATGTTCTGTAGTGAATGAAACCTAACTTTTATTTTCTATCATACTGTATGTCAAATGTTTACACCGACAAACCTCTGGATTTTATTTATTAAATTATTATATCAGTCATATCTCACTTTCTTGATGCTCTTCCTTTTTTTGAGTCATGATTAAATCACAGGTAGTTCTTGGCTGTTTCTGGTTATTATGAACCAGCAGAGTGTAGCAACATGCACATTAAAAAAAATAATAGRCCCAGGTTTGGTTTAACGAACCACTCGTACAACAGATCACTGTCACATTTTTTTATTTATTGATGTAAAACTGCTAAAACCATGAACAGACAATAGATTTAAAAAAGTAGAAAAAATAAATAGTTTAATAAATAACTTTTCACTAACGTGTTAAATAACCCTCAATGTCATTGTTTAATGCTTGCTACGTAAGGCGTAGTCCAGACATGTCTTCATTTTCTTCAGGAACTTTTGTAGGTGATACGTGTCCTTTTTGACCAGGTTGCAGCTGGTATGACATTTCTGAAACAAAATCATTTTAAAATTTACAAAGCATGTTTTAGAATCTGGTACAATTCACATTTATGAGCAATAAATGACTTGGGAGTTGCAGCAAACGCAAAAATAGATCTGAACTGTTTCCTACCTTATTGTATTTATTCAAWATGCCAGCTAGGTTTGTAAAGGAGGCCTTCACTGTGTTGTTTGTAATACTTTCCAGAACCTTCTCAGCCTGGCAGAAGAAGTTTTTCTACAAGGAGAAGTTGGTGGTTATTCATATTCAGCACACAGGATTTTAGAGTTGATTTGTCTACATCTCCAAACCCATTCAGACTGAAGACTGATTCTTATTTTATCGTGGAAGAAGCTTATTTCTTGTCAAATATTTGCTTTTCCATTTTTGTTGATAATGATTTTAGGTGTGGAAAGGCTTAAAAGGTAAGCACACCTACACATTGCATCAAGTTTGAATGGGCTGCATGGACAATAACAGGAAAAAAGAATTGGTTTTCAACATACCGGGCAGTTATTTGTTGGCTTTTGTACATTTATATTGTTCCACTGAAATGACAAGTACATCAGTACGTTAAAACCATAAAATCACCAGAGAAGGAAATAAAGTTTGCAGCTTCCTACCGTTGCATTTTGAAAATTCCCAACCTCGTCTTCCATTTTATGCAATAGGACTGAGCATTCGTCAGGAGGTTGGATAGAAGTACGGACGGTTGCCGAGTACACCAACACGACTGTCGTCGTCATCACCAGGAGTGTGGAAGGCTTCATCTGGAAGGTCCACATGTCTCTCTTGTCTTTGAAAGAGCCACAGCTTTGTCTGTCGGCAGTAAAGTTGACTCCCCTACCTTATATTGGCATTCTCGTTCTGACACCACGACCACAGACACGTCAGTGGGGGTGGTGGAGGAGAGGATGAGGTGTAATCTGTTTGATCAGCTTTTCAATGAATTTCTTCCCCTTGATGCAGGAACTTCTTACTAGAAATTATTCCTCAACTTGCAAAACCCCCACCCAGAAGCTGTCACACTGTATTTATATCTTAAGGAAATTTTTTCCCCATCACGTATTTCCACTTACCAAGCAGCTTTATCTAATGAAGATATATTATTAGTTTAAGCATCACTAAAAGTGGCATGTATACGTTTCCTGTGTGACATGTTGAAATGACTGATGTGTGCATTCATGGGAAATAATGTACTAGAGTCAAGCTTTTGATTTTATCCTGCACATCAAAGGAAACGATTGAAAACCAACACCAACAAAAAAAAAAAAAAAAAAGATTTATATCACCTTTGGTTTCAGCTTTAGTTTGGAGCGAACAGATGATTTTGTTTTTTTCATATAATAGAGATGCTATGCTGCTGGCAGGAAAATAGATGACAAAGTCAATCATGAAAACAGTCTGCAGAACTTTGTGCATATAACCCTGATTCCAATTTAATTAATAAATAAAAACAGAAAAAAATTAATTGAACATTTTTTTCAACCTTCATTCAAATGAAAACACTAAATATTTAATGTTTAAACGGAGAAACTTATTTATTTATTTTTTTTTTTGAGTGGCTCAGTTGGTAGAGCTGTTGCCTCTCAGCAAGAAAGTTGCTGGATCAAATCTCGGCCCGGGGACCTTTCTGGGTAGTTTGCATTTTCTCTCTGTGCATGCGTTGGTTCCCTCTGGGTACTCCGGCTTCCTCCCACAGACCAAAAACATGACTGTTAGGTTAAGTGATAACTCTAAATTGTCCCTAGGTGTGAGTGAGAGAGTGAATGGTTGTCTCGTTTGTCTCTATATGTGTCCCTGTGATGGACTTGCGACCTGTCCAGGGTGTACCCCGCCCCTCACACTGTGACTGCTGGATATGAGCACCAGTGACCCCCGTGACCCTGAAAGGAAAAAAKGGGTATAGATAATGGATGGATTAACTCATTTTGAATTTGATGCCTTCAAGACATTCCATTTTCGAGATTTTGTGGGCCGCATGATGAGGAGCCTTCGAATTGGGACAGCACTAAGCACGGGGCAGTGACATACACAGCCAGCAGGATGCATTCCATAAACTGAGACAAAGCCATAGTCCCTACAGCGTGTCCTGGGTCTCCTCCCAATGTGACATAACCGGAGCACCTCACCAAGGAGGCATCCAGGAGGCACACTAACCAGATACAAAGCCACCTCAACTGGCTCCTCTTGATGTGGAGAAGCAGCGGCTCTACTCTGAGTCCCTCTCTTGTAAAATGAAAAAAATCTGAATTCAATCATTGCAACCCATTTTTTTATTCGCAGGGGAACAAAGTACACATCAAATGTTAAAACGAATAAACTACAGTTTTAACAAGAAAAAAATCAATTTGGTTTTATAGCAGTAACAAAGAAAAGTTGGGTAACAAAAGGCTAAAGAACTAAGTGCATAAGAAATATAGAGCATTTTGCAACAAATTGAAATAAATGAGAACAGTAAGAGGTCTACAACGAGCATTTTACAAATGCTGAATTTCTTTTGTAAAAATGGTCAGGGGTTTACTATTCTGCACAAAAATTATCCCAATATCTATTTATGGTATCATCAAAAGATTGAAAGAATCTGGAGACATCTCTGCGCTCAAACAACAAGGCTTAAAGTTCATTCTGGATGCTTGTGATTTTTTTTTTTTTTTTATAGGGGGGGGGGTGCTCTCAGTGAGTATAAACAGGTTAGATTCTGCTTTGGACATCACTGCATGGGGTCATGAACACTTCTATAAACTATTGTCCGGAAACACGGTCATGCCATTGCTCCATCATGCAAAGAAAAAGCCAAATGTGAACATTGAATGCAGCCACCTTCTCTGCGTCAGTTCTCATAAAAAAAGCAAAATGAAAAGACAGCATGTCCTCTATACTGAAGTGGAGAGGGACCAACCAGCCTGTTTTCAGCTCAGTTCAAAAGCCTGCCTCTCTGATGGTATGGTGGTGTATTAGTGCTTCTGGCATGGGCATCAATGCAGAAAAGTATGAAAAGGAAAAAAAGCAGCAAAGAAAAGCTGTTGAACAGCGAGAATCTTACATCAGACAAGAACAACGTTAAAGCCGGTCTCTACAGCTCCTGTGTTTACAGACTGTTGGTAAAAGAAGAGAGGATGGTCCTGTCTCAACATTTTTTCGACCTGTTGCTTGCTGTCCAACTTTTATCTAATCACAGTTGTAGATTCTTAACCTAAATGGCAAACTTTTTGTTTCATTTTGTTTTACTGGTTTTGTTTTTACCAACAAATAAGCTGGAAGTAAGTAAAAGTCACTTCTGTCACACTTAAAAATAGATGTGTCTCAGTTTGAGGTAGGAGCTCCACCTTGAGGTAACTTGAGCATCCTGAAGAGTCACCATCAGCTCCTGTTTAAAATGAAAACTGTGACACATGGTGGAGCAATTAGAGTTTATTTCTGCATTTAAAAATTTGTAATGTTCACTTTCAATAAAGTTTTTTTTTCTAAAAGCGTGGGATAATACTAAAACAAATCAACATTTTGAAAGAAAAAGCAACATTTTGTTAAAAATACTGTTAATTATCAGGATATCGTATAGGTTTTTTAATTTTTGCTTCAAAACTGAGACAAAAAACATAGGCAATGTGCAAAAAAACCTTTTGACAGCTATGAATTATCTGTGTACAAAACAACCAAAAGTGGCTTGATCAATACGCTTGATCCCTGATTATCAGCAAACATGAGCCCCTCAGGAATGTGGAAAATGGGCTGTTTGCTGCTCTGAAGTCTTCAGGTGTTTTGACATAATGAGACATTAGTTAGAATTTAATACAAACATTTGTTGCTGTCCAAATATCTGTTGTTCATTTTAAACAATTTTTGCCTATGAACATGTCAAAAACTAACTACATGTTATTTTTTTTTTAAGTCTTGGAAATAAAAGATGTTAGAAGTTTTTTGTCATATCCAACAGACAGAAATATCCACCTTAGTAGCACATACAGTTTTTAGTCATACCCATATTTTACCATATAAATTTAATTCAATTCAGTTTATTTATACAGCGCCAAGTCACAACAATTGTCCCATAAAGGGTTTATTTCATTTTCATGCCTAAAATATAAAACATTTTACAAAAGCAATTTTTTATATTGATTTGGCTGTTGGATGTATTTTATTTAGTCATCATGGTGCCCACCGTGGTAGACTGTTTGCTCCGCTTCTGAATGTCCAAGTGCCATCAGACTTCTAAACAGCTGAATGTGACAGTTTTCTGACTAATATTACTGCACATGTGCACATTTCAGACTGTTACCTGTTGCACATTTACACTTTAAACACTGATTGTATTGTTCCCTTTCTTGATGTTATTATTGTATTGTTCTCTTCTGATGTTATTATCTCTAGTTTGGTCTTCTTTTTGTTCTAAGTGTGGTCTTTTTTTATCCTTTATCCCTTATTACTTTGTTAGTGTCCTTAGCTTATTATTTTTGTGTGGTTGTCTCCTGGCATTCAGAGTGGTTGGCAAAGTAGGAATTTCATTGCTCAGGGAAACATGTTTTCATCTGTTTATATGACAATAAACACTTTGAATCTTGAKTCTTATGACATATAGAAAAATAAAATCCAAAATCCTCTTAGTAAAAATCTTAGCCAATCATTATAATTGGGGGAAGAAAAGTTATGGAGATAGCATATGTATCAAATTTCATTTTCAGATTTTTATGATCGTATATTACTTCACATTTTGTCAGCAATTGACAAAGTTTTGTTGTGGCAAGCAGATTTATCATTTAATCGGCAGTCACAAGTTTCTTATGTTAGGTTATAATTTAGAAACCCAAGCTTAAAATTAATTTCTGATTGTACTACAATTTTAAAAGAAAAAAAATGTCATTTTAGTAGCAAGATTTTATTAGAAGTGTTTGGTAGTCAAAGTTTAACATGTTTAAAAAATCAGGCATCAGTTATTTTGTAATAATTATGATGACTAGCAACGATGTAATGATAAAGGTCTATTATTTTAAGGAACATTAGAAAAGGTAATCAAAAAGAAAAAATAAGTAGGTCCTCTGGACGGGTTCTTCTTTAGTGAATTGTTTCGTCTCTCCTCCAAGAGACTTCTTCAGTCTGATGAGTTTCAGGTGAACTCAGCCTCATAAGCACTGCCTCCACATGG